AAAATTTTATTACCTTTTAAAAGCTTCAAACCGTTTTGGAATTGCTTAATTCGTTCTTGAGATATATATGATAAAGTTGACCCAATTTTTTTTTTTTTGCAAAAACGGTAAATTGCAAATATCTCAAAAACGGTACCATAAAATTAAAAATAACCTTGATTTTCGGAACCAGGGGGTGATTTTACATAAGAATTTCATAACGGCGTTTCTGGTAAAGAGAAAAAGTTGAAATTTGTGGTCCAGTGCTATCATTGGCTCACCCCTAATGTGGCACTACCACAGATGTATTCATAATCAGTGCTGCAAATGTGATCTGGCTCACAGGAGCCGGTCAAGTTACTGACTGTTGTTGTGCCCAGGCACAAGGCGTATGTACCGACGCCAGTGCAGGCAAAGGTATTGGTAGCATCGCAGGTGTTACAATCGGCACAATCAGCTACCACACCGACGCCTCCACTGGGCTGGCAAATGCTCGTGGTAGCTGTGGAGCAAACATATTCTGTGGGGCAATCTAGCGCATTCGCAATTGGTGAGCCATTGTCGCACACCTTAAATTGGCTGTTGGAGACGCAAGCCAGATTAGTTTCAGCAGAGCAGGTATTGCAGGCGGCGTGCGTGAAAGTCGGCCAATCGGCACAGAGAAGCAGCAAACTCCAAAGAAACTAAATGGGAAATGTGTGAGTGTTGCGAAGAGCGAAATAAATTGCATATATTTCTTGAACTGATAGTTAGTAGCACTTACCCGTCGCGTAATGAACTCCGACATAATCGAATATTTTTTAACTTTATAAACTTTTTTTTGAATACTCTTACTTCGAAATAAGCTTGGCAGTACTTTCTATAAGTCCGCTTGCATCAATTCCAAATTCATTTGCAACTAAAAATGTAAAACAACTAATGCCTAGATTTAAACAATCTGCCATCATCTCTGGGCTATCTTATCGGTGAAACTACAGAAATTCAAGCTTATCTTAGTGCATAAACGTCAAATGTATAGCAACTTTTTCTACTTGAAAGATAAATATTTAAAATGTAATAAATTTGATTTAGATTGTTTTATTTGAACAGCGAACTGTCGCTGACCAGACAAGGCCAGCGCGTTATTTATTTGTTAATATTCCTCAAAACAGATGAGGCTTAGCCCGATTCGCGAATTCCTAATTTCAATGTTGCCCAACAACTTGGCATCCTACTTATTTATTTGACTATTCAATTATCTGAAAGGTCTTTAAAAACGGGGAAAGGGTGAACGATCACAGCAGTATATATACAAATATATTGTCCAAGGACACAGTATCTTTCAAACCGACAAGGGGCACCACAAGAGGCATTTCCCACCAGGGTGGGAAATAAAGCCAATTGACCTTATTTCCATTGACCTTATTACCTGTCACCATAGCTGCAGGCTCAACGTTAATCCCTCGAAGACCGAATTACTATTATTCACTACAAGGAAAAAGATTCCTAATTTTAACATACCTTCCTTAAAAGGGTATACTCTTTCTCTTTCCCCTTACGCTATTTGGGAGTCATTCTCACACCGAAATTAAACTGGAAAATGAACACAGAGTACCGAGTAAAAAATGCTTATAGTGCTACATATTCCTGCAAGAAAATTCTGGGTAAGAGGTGGGGCCTACGATCTGATCTTATGCCATCGATGTATAAGGCGGTTATTCGCCCAATTATTGCATACGGTTCGCTGGTTTGGTGGAAAGCCGTAGAGATGAACTACATACGCACAATGTTAAGCAGGGTACAAAGATCAGCCTGCATTGCAATTACTGGGGCGGTCAGATCATGTTCAATGGATGCATTGAAAGTGATCTACCATCTGCCACCGATTGACCTCTTTATCATGAAAGGTGCTTCACAGTGCCCTGAGGTTGAGGGAACTTAGATTGATTGTGGAAAGAACGTACGTACGGGCATGGACGTATCCTGCATTCTTTCAACGACCCAAGCAAAAAACTGACTACATTTGTCCTTCGCCTCTCTTAAAGAAAAACTTCGACACGATTTTTCCATCAAGAAAGGAGTAGAAGGATCCTATTTTTACCGAACGCTTCGAGTTATACATTGTCCACTTACTAAAGACAAAAACGTTTGTTTGTTTCGGTGTTGATGCGAAAACAATGGTTTGAGTACCATCGAAATTGTAAAAGCAGGTATAACTACTAAATCTAGAACTATATATTTAATTCAGATTAAGTTTGGTTAAAGCTATATAAGGTTTAGTTAGAAAAAGATGGCTTAAGAAAGATCTTTCTAAAACCACAGAAGACAACAAAGTTTACTAAAGCGACTTCTCTTTGACCACAAAACGATATTAGATGAGTCCAATTAACCCAACTCCAACAAGAATACTTCACGCTTAAAGTTATTTTAGTTAAATCAATATTTTTTTAGGGTCTAAATCAAGTACTCTCCCATGGAATATATGTACATTAAGAAAACTGTTCAAGAATAAAAGCCTTTGGAAGGTAAGTGCCAATCTAATCAAAACAAATATTTATTTGAGCTATGATAATTTTCATATATACTAGGGCTAGGACTATTCGTATATTCGGATATCCGTTCGGATATTCAGGTGTATACGAATAAAACCTGGATATCAAGATTTCATTTTTCATTTGTGTTTCTAAATGGGAAATTATTTATGTTAGTAAAACACTCAACGCGATAATGGAACTCCAGTTTTCCTTTGTCAAACGAAGAAGAATGGAGGAGAATTGAAAACGAAAACTGAAATTGCAATAAACTCTAATACTTGTAGGACCACACTCCGATGTCCAAACGTAAAAAATCAAAACACTTGAAATAAACCTAAAGGAAGTAAGTATTCCTGAAGTAATATTGACTTATTTCTGCCTGCAACCTAGCAATGCGCTTCGCCAGCATCTATAAAGATACAAAATTTTTATAGTTTTATAGGTAAAGTAAAGCTATTTGTTCAAGTTTTGCTGTCACGTACGTATGTATGTATTATATTTTGCATTCATTGCTGAAGCAATCACCTAAATTAGTCAGTCGTACGAAACGTGCAAATGCGTCCTTGAATACGATTTTGTAATTTATATCTGCATTCGACGTCTCTCTGGCGTGTAAACTTGATGCTAACTTTCTTAAAAAATTTCTGCAGTAATAAGGAGAACAAATGCCAAACACAAAGCCATGAAGTTAAAGAATTTTGCGAAGAGTAAACAAAAAATGAATCCTTGGTAAGAAATAAATTTTACGTTTGTCTGTTTATCTCGAATTAAACGATTGCCCAAAATATGGGGCACAAATTGACAAGCTTAACTATTTTATATTTTTCTAGATAATTCTTCTATTTATTTATAAAAAAAATTCTTCTTTAATTAACCAAAACTGCATAAATTCAGGTTTCAAACTTTGTGCAATATTAAAAAAAAATCAACAAGCCTTCGTAAAAATTTTGAGCTTTTTAATTCGATTTCGTAGAAATATCATCACAATTTTCTTGTTAAGGTCGAAAGCGGAAAACTTAATTTTTTATTAAATTTGGATATAAATTGGCTGAGGTATGAAACTTTCAACACGAAATTAATATTGGCAGAAACATACATATTTAATGCAAGTGCATACTTAGTCTTTGTGAGGAACGTGGAGAAGTCTAACGTACATACAAATAACCACACATACATACATATGTACACAGTGACTCAAAAAAATGACCACGCGTTCATATTTGTTTGATATTCGTAATGTTTTTCCAGCAAAATTTAAAAGAGCTTTAACCAAAACCATATAAATCACAGTTTTGATTTTTATACAAAATTTAAGAAAATTCAAAAAATTTTTCAACAAGATTTCAACTTTTTATTCTGAAACTTTAGAACACTTTTGGTATATAGTTTTATAGCCCCTACAATTTTAGTGCCACGAAGTGCACGTTTCAACCGGCTAAAAAATCCCGTTAATTTTTGAGAATTTTTTCTAAATACTGTTTTTTTTTTACACAATAAGTGCAATTTACAAAAACTGGCGATGATTTTTTGAAATTTTGTTGCTTACGGTCTCCCGCTTTTTATTTCATAAGAAATTCATGCTTATTGGAAAAAAGTACAAAAATCCCGCACCAAGAAATAGTTCCCGAAAATCAAAGGGATTTTTTAGCCGTTTATAAATTGCACTGTGCTGTATTTGTATTTTACCTTCCTCGTGTCATCATTTCGCTCCCAATTCTGCTGTCCCATTTTTTATTGATGTGAATACTTTTGTTTATCTACAGCTAAAAGTGTTTTTTTGTATCATTTTTGGTCTTCTTTCCTCATTTGATTCAGGAATACTTACTTCCCTTAGGTTTATTTCATGTGTTCGGATTTTTACTTTTGGACATCGGAATGTGGTCCTACAAGAACGCGATGAGTCATAGAGTTCATTGCAATTTCAGTTTTCGTTTTCAATTCTCCTTCATTCTTCTGCATTTGACAAAGACTGGAGTTCCATTATCGCGTTGAGTGTTTTACTAACAAAAATAATTTCCTATTTAGATACACATAAATAAGCAAATACCAATTTTTG